CAGTCCTTTCTGCAATTCAAGGCTCTTTTTGTGTCCTGCCTGCCTCAAGCAGCCTTCTCAGATAATGCCAGTTAGTCTGCATTGGTATTGATCTTTTTCTTTTCTGATCCTGATCTCCCACATCCCTTTCAAAGATAAGTAGCCTGTCTTTCCAGTCTGGTTAGAAATTCCTTGAGGGCAGACATCACGTCTTATTCCCAGTATATATGTTGTCTCTTCCTAACACACAAGAGAAGGTCCTTGAGGCTGACAAAGTGACTAGCAAGTCTCCCTTTTCCCCTCAGCACCTCACCCCAGCACTGGGTACATAGTTGGCCTAAGGGAACACTTGTGGATTTGTTTTAGATGTGCACAGCATCTGCTCGACTGCTCAGCACACAGTGAGCACTCTCTACATTGTATTTTTAGAGGCAATCTGTTACCACATAAGGACTAACAGAAATTACTCATATTCTTTGTGTAAATGGATTCATACAATTATAATGTTTAAGCGCTGAAATAGGATGAGGGGAAAAATTATGAGGCTTTTCTTAAGCCAAAAGGTACATTAGAACATGGAGTCCAAATGTTTCCACTGGTGTGGCACAGAACAGGTGAGAGGTTTGTCGAAATTAATCTGTTATTAATGACAATGTATTAAGTTTGAGAATAATTTACTATATTTTAGTCAACTAAAATAGATTTCAAGTTCCACCTGTAATGAGCTCATTTTCATTCAATTTCCGGAGGGCAAAAGCTAAATCTAACTTTGTTTTTCAGATGAGGGATCAGGTTTAGAGAAGGGAAAGGTTTTATCCAGTATCACCCAGAGAGTTAGCAGGAGAATGGAGGGGAGACCTCAGGCCTCCTTGTCCTCTGTGGAGTAGTCCTCTCACCGTCCTCCGATTTTCCTCAATCAGCAAACAAGAAGGAAACGTGGAAACTGAAGAAGAAAGCATGACAGGGTCTAGTGAAAATCAGTCTTCCAGAGCAAAAATAGTTTTCTCCTGGTCAGGGACCAAGGCTTGAGAAAGTTTTCTCTTGGAGAAGGAAGGCAGAAGATGTTTGTGAACCTGCCTATTAACGAGCCTTCTGCTGTAAATCATACAAGAAATTATATATTTGCCCCTCTCCTCATAAGACTTTACCTTGCCTTTTTACAAATGTCCATCATTGGATATTTGAATTTCTTCTGGAGAGAAATTCAGGAAGTCTCATTGAAAAACAAAGTACATCTGTACAGTTTCCTCCCATTTTAGTCTATAATATCAGAATCATTAGCTTATTCTTAAAATTTCAGATCATTTGAACTGTTTGCATGGAAGATCTGAAAAATTTCTGAAGAACTGTGAGAAAACAAAATCTAAATAAATGTAATTTAAAAAATTTTATTTTATGAATCTTGATGTGAATGGAATGGGAGATGGAGCAGGAGATGGGAGGGTTACAGGTGGGAGGGAAGTTATGGGGGAGGAAGCCACTGTAATCCAAAAGCTATACTTTGGAAATTTATATTTATTAAGTAAAAGTTAAAAAAATTAATTTTTAATTAGTTTTTATGAGATTCTGTGTGATTTGTAGATAGAATTCTAAGAACACAATGATAATTCTCTTCCTCCCTCCCTGCCCATTTTTCCCTCCCACTCTCCTTTCTTCTACCTTTCTTTCTTTTTGTTTTTAGTTTTTGAGATAACATATTTATATTTACATTACAGTAAAAAGGCTTAATAAGAAGTTTAACAGCTAAAAAGCAAAATGACCCTAGTTTAGAGGGTGCTTGAAATACATTTACTTTTCAGAGATCAACTTAGAAATTGAACATTTTATTCCATAATTCGACATTTGAAATGTAATCACATTATAAATCTTCAGTATGTCAATGGTATCCTTTTTAAATTATTTTTTAAGATGGTGCTTTGGAGGGCCTGTGCTGTGGCATAGTGGGTAAAGCCACTGCCTGCAGTGCCAGCATCCCATATGGGTGTTAGTTTGAGACCCAGCTGCTCTACTTCCAATCCAGCTCTCTGCTATGGCCTGGGAAGGTAATAGAAACAAAGATGGTGGTTTGGAAAAAGACAATCTACATCATTTTCCTAGCCTTCTATAATGTGATAGAAGAAAATACACAGCACAGTATTGCTGGATTTTTCTTTCATTCACTAATACTTTAATCAGCCTTTAAAAAGCCACTGGAAAGCATAAAAAGTTTTTGAATGGATGTCTTTTCCTCTTTTCCACTCTTGCAAAAGATCCTGTCAGCTGTATATTACAAGATTGAGAGCTTTATTTCTTTGTTTTCAGTTAAAATCTATTTGACTAGTTAGAGACACATTGGCCTAATGATAAATCTATGGCTGAAGTTTGTGATCAGGAAGAGGCCAAACACCACTTGTCAGCTAAGAGCTTTGTTCACTGGAATGAATCATTGAATTTCTGAAGCACAACTGAGTTGTCCAAGCCTCTGTCAGTTTCCCTGATGATAGGAAACTTGGAATTATCGACCAAAAGGGAGGGGTGATGAACAACTAAATGTAAAAAATTCTATTTTTTTCCTGAAATATGTTAATGCAGTCTTCCTAGAAACATTTATAATTTAATTTGATTAATTATCACACCAAAAAACTAAACCCATCCATCAACAGAAAAAATAACTTCCCTGAAAAACAGATAAATGAAAAATCTAGTCATCCCCCCTCCAAAACCAAAGAGAAGCAAGATGTCATCATTTACAAAGGAGTAGGAAAGATGGTTTAAATATTTTTAAAGTCAGTTAAGAAAGAGAGATTACTCCAAAGCTAAATGGTGCATTTTTTTCTTTTCTTTTACCTTTTAGGGAACCTCATTTATTTATATAAAGGGAACAGATTTGAATCTTGTAGAAATAAAATTAGAATAGGACTATGTCCAAACTAGCCAACTGAAAGGAGAACAGGTTTAAGAGATTTTCAGGCTTGAATAATAATTGTCTCAATGCCCTACTTTGTTTTGTGTCTAATAGCCATTCACAAAGTAGCCTAGAATCATAGAGTGTCAAAGTTAGATGTGTCCATTGAGTTCATGTAGCCCAGCACTTGCCCCAAAAGAAAGCTGAGACCTAATCAGAGCTTGGCTCCTAAGACTTGACACTGAGAAACATCTCCCATAGGTTCTTATTTTGTACAAATAGGACTTTAAGAAACAAACTTGTCCTGAAAGGAATATGATTTAGCATGGTCTTAAGCCCAAAGAATCTCTCTCCTATTTGGAAGGTTTAAGTAAAAAAAAAATCAAAAACACAGAGCCATATGAAGAACTAAATGATGAGCTCTGGAAGAATTCATCACTGAAGCTTGTCAGAGAGTGCATTTTTCTCTCAACTCAGAATCTCCCAATTCCAAAAGCCAATAATAAGGCAATCTCCCAGCTCAGCAGTAAAGCCACTTTTAACTCTAGAATGAGATCACTGGGTTCAATGACCAGACCCAAGTATCACTTAAAATGTGGTTTGACTGGATGTAATAAATTTTAAATGTTGGTTGTAATATTATAAGTACAGATGACAGATCATCCGCATGGAGGACGCATGTTTCTTGTAAATTCCAAAAATGTCCAAACTAAATATTAGTTTAAGAACTCCTGGAACAGCTAAGATTGCATTGTAATTATGCTTTGAACTTAGATTTTCCAGTTTTCAAACCTCAGTGGTAGTAAGTAAGTCTCATTCATTCATCAGAGAAATAGTTGTTGGACAGTTATGATGCTCCCAAACACCGTGTGAAGTGTTAATGACACGAAAGTGAAAGATGTGTGAGAAGTGAAGAATTTGGCCAAGAATTACCCAGAGTCGAGTCCATTCCATAATCCTGTCTATCAGACAGTCACTTTGTGAGCTGGAGGATACCAGAGATTGCATGTTATAGCCAACATTCTGTCAAGATCAAAATGTAGAAAACGCAAGGTAACAATTTGACAGATAACAAGGTCAAATGTTTCTTTCAATGGTAAATGTTGACAGAAAACATAGACTAATTATTTAAAATAAAATTAGTAAAAATGACGTGTAACTACTTCCAAAGCAGTTGCCCTGGGAAACATGAATCAATTACATTTGCAGTCCCCATTCAGGAATAACAAATCCATTTTGACATTCTCTTTCCGGTATTAACAGACACACTTAGGACTTGTTCATGTTTTATATATTGAGTTCAGAATGGGGAGTTGTAAATTAATTTTATTTCCATTCCATTTCAGTTGATCTTTTTAAAGGGTCAGATGATCCGGTACACTATTACGGACTCTCATCCTTCAACACAACACTTTAAAATGTGATTGTTCCAATTGTTTCAGCTACCTTATGAAGGTCACATCAATCAATGGAATATATCACATGTATGTTAATAAGTTCAAGACAAGATCACTTGTTTTAAGTCCTCTCCTTCACCACAGGATTCTCAAATCCTTTGTTATGTTATTACACATGTGAATGGAGTATACCTGGCAGATATATTCAGATGTTTACCAAATCCAGGTTGTCAAAGAAGTCACTTTGCCATAATATCACCATTGTCACAGTCTTTAGAAGTATAGTGATAGCATGTCCATTAATGAATTCATGATTTCTATTCCTTGGATTTGAGTGTCCATTTCTTCTTTTATAAAATATGAATTTATTAGATCATTTATTGTATTGGACAAAATTTTATAAAAAACCATTTGGCTTCCTGGTGGATATTGTGTGTGTATGTGTGTGTGTGTGAAGAGAATGAGAAATAAGCATATTATCAATTCGTAGAGAGATATAACTAAATTGCTTTAGTTGTTGTTTACACTCAATGCTCTAATTATGGTATAAATATCTGAAAAGTATTAACATATGTTTTTATAAAGCTCATTTTGCCTTAGAAGTATAAATTGTAATCAAGAAAAATATCTTAACTTGTAGGATTTTGACAATATATTTCAAGGCAAAGGGATGGATCTTGTCAACTTTTGTCATTAATTCCTCTTAATATTCTCAAGAATTTCTCTAACTACTTCAAATGTTCATTTTAAAGGAATATTTATTAACTGAAAACTAACTACAGCATAAAATAACTGTGTAAACAGGTTGTCGGATTCAACACAATGTCATTGCATTACACTTCCAGTATTTCATTTTGCTTATAAACTCAAAATATGACATTTATTTTTTTGAAATCATGTTGCTGTTTGACATAGAAGTCTATTTACACAGAGTTTGTTTCATTTGCCATTTATTCCAATAACTTGAGAACAATTATTTGCAACTAAATCTAACAGTATCTATACAAGTACTTTCAAGCTAAAATACTGCTAAAAAATCCCAACACACATGCAATGCAATATGTTTACATAATAACATATATTGATTATAAAAATCTGTGACTCTAAGCACTTTATAGAATGTGATTGCAGGAGTCACTCTACCTTCTGATGAAACATGGCCTCTTGTAAGAGAGGAGACACCACTAAGCAGGATAGTCCTGTGTTCAATGTAGTTGAAATGGATTGGCTACTCAGACTGTTCGGGAATGCTACTGTGCTATTATTGAACCACTCAGTAGCACAATTCGCAGACTACTGCGGAGACTCTCAAGTATAGGTCCTTAGCAACCAAGAGGCTGACAGCACAAGCAGCACTGACAAATGCACTCTTATGCAGGTGGGCTTGGTTTTAAACAAAGTCGGTATTGAAAATCCAAACATACAAAATAGATAAATTAGAGAGTGATTGTTTCTATTATAAAATGGCTTTCTGCTTTATAAAAGGATTTACAAGTTTCCTCTAAATGGCAGCTCTCTTAATGCATTTAAAATACAATTTGATTTACAAAACTTCAATTTACATGAGAATTTTTGCACAACCATTGTGAGAAGCAAAATACAACTATATACAGTACTGAATTTTGTCTCTCAGGATGAAGGTGTCTTATCACTGTATTGGTAAAAGACACTTAAACCAAAATATTATCTTTTAAGCCACTGAAATATAAAGTAAATATTATCTCTAAAACATCGATATTCCAGAAAATTTAAGTATGTTTTTGATTTTGTATTTACAATTTTGGTCATCATCTTTGCACAGGTATAGCTATCTTTGCACAGGTAGATAGCACATAGCTATTTTGAGGCCATAATATTGGGCCGTATTATGCAGAAACTTGTTTCATTTTGTTTGGTTTTTTGTTCTTCTTTTTAGCTGTGTAACTCTAAAGACATTAATGGGGTAACATTGTCACTAGTCTATTTATAGTATGTTGGTTTTAAACATTACTGCACTGAATCACTTTTAAAAATTCAACCTCCTGCACACATCACTGTACCCACTGTTTATTCTGGGTGATTTTCATTTGGGTACAGTTTTCCTTTATTAGCACTAAGCTCCTGGGGTGGTGGTCATTGGTAGGGGTGAAGAGTAGAGATCCTGTCTACTTTATCACTGTGCCCCCCTCAGTAAAAATCAGAGAGTCTGGCACCTAGAAAGTAAGCAGTCGGTAAATATTGAATGAATGAATGAATGAATGAATATATTGAGAAAATTGTAAGGCTTTCTTCACTCTAGCATCCAATTCAGTATGTATCTGGGATGTGTATAATCAAATTAGTTTTCGGGGTCAACAAATTCACAGAACCACTCTCTCATTCCTTACACACTTTATGTAAAGTCCATAAAATAGTAAGCCCTTGACAACATGAAAATATTCAGAAAAAAACTGTCACTCCAGAAGTCAGAGGACAAAGAAGAACAAATTTAAGGATCATTTTCTTACCAACTTCTGGAAAGAACTAACAAGGCACACGGGTTGAACAACATCCAGAACCAAATTAGACTCTTGACAATTGTGTCTGGTCTGTGAAGTGGTGCTTTTTGAGTATTTTAACACAAATTTAGCCACAGATACAGATACAGCTAGTAAAGTGAAAATCGAAGGGAATTACCATTTGCTATCTATAGGACCAGACACAGCGATCTGTTCCAGGTGGGGTCCTAGGAACACCATTCTGTTGGCTGAACTCATTTGTCTGTGCTGATACTCATACTCAGTTCAAGGTGCACATGAAATGCAGAAGAAATAGCAAAATCTAGCTGCAGGAGAGAATATTTAAAAATCCCCAAATTAAAAGTTTCAAAGCACTTGGGTGGTTAAAGCAAAACAGAATATAGGTAGTCAGTGGGGATCCTAATAAGTCAATAAAGCTTAAAACAGTTCTGATTTCATTAGAACATAACAGTTCAAAGTTTACAGGGTATTATACTTTTAAATAAAATAGGACTACATTCAAAAGATTTTTCTTAAAACCTAATGCAAATAAAATACAAATCTAAGAAGCATGACAGTATAGAAATAAACCGTAACATTAAGGAAAAGCTTGTGAATTTCAGTTCTTCTAGATGCCGTCTTTAAAGTCACATAACTAAATGAATGCTGAAGCATCTCTCTTTAAGATTAATGAATTAATCTGTCTGATGAAGAATAGCATTTGACAGGAGTGCCTTTACTTTCCGGAGAATAAGAACAAACACTGAGGTGGTGTTACTTACATCAGTCACTCTACTCACATGGTTTAAGCCTAAACCCAATCTTAAAAGAACATACATGCAAATTTGCTTTCATGGAGACCTCCCAAAATACCTACCTCTGTATTCTATAATTACCATTGCAGCAAATGAGAACAGCCAGAGAGAATTTTTGAAACTATCTTTAAATACGTCACTCAAAGATGAGGTGGTTTCCAAGAACGATCTCCAAGTTCAAATAGAGTAATGCTCGAGCTTCTCTTTCATGCAGTATAAACTCTCCATACGCTAACTTTCTTGTAGGTCTTTTCAGTTCATCATTTTCAACTTTGATCCAACGATTTAAATAAGAATTAGGATCTCTTATCAAAAAATGAACATGTTAGCTTTTCATTGTAGATATTCAGGAATGTTAGACTATTAAAGGTATTTTCCCTGAATGCCCTTTACATTTTATATCTATATCTATATCTTTAGATATAGATATATATATACACACCCACAGACACACACATTTACCTTCTATTGTTTAAAAACTAGTTTGCATCAGTAATTATTCATCCAAATAATTTGAATTTAAATAATTTCTAATTGAAAGCTTATCACATGAATTGTTAATAGTGACAGACAATATTCTATTAGTCATTTTAAAGCCTTAAAAGTAAGTCATCAAGATCCACTTCAATCTCCACATGATAATAAAGGATTATTATGTGCAGTAACCTATTTATGAAAAGGAAACAGTGTGCTGCTTTCAGACGCCATCACTTGCTTTAATAAGGAATTGAAAAGCTGGACTACTTTATATGCAGATCACCATCCCAGTTGCATAAGGATTTACAATAGACAAAACAAAACTATTTTTTGTTGTAAAGAAGGGCTGTTTGTTTAAATTACACAATAATGTTTGAATTTAAAAATTATTTACAGGCCAATAAAGCTTCATAAATGTTACATAGACTTGATTAGTTAAAATCATTTTAATGCTAAGACCAAAATGAAAAGCTTGCTGAAGGTGACAAGGACAAATTCAAGTAACACATGCCTGAACAAGGCAGAAGGAAGTAGACGCTTATTGTCATGGTTTAGGAAACTATTAGTCAATTTGGAGATGCAAGTAGTACATGATTTGGTAGCACCCCGTTAATGTGTCAATTAAATTCAAGAAGAAAATGCTGCTTTGTCAGACAATGGGAAAACTGAGAATTCCAAGTCTAACCTTTTGGATCCTACAACAAATAGAGAGTAATGTATACATTTTTATCTCGACTACCTTGAATTTGCAGAGAACTTATTTGGGAAGTTTTAATCTCACCGTTGATGTCTTCCTTCAAGGTATTTAATGGCTCCTATGTCTTTGTTAAATGAAGTGTGTGGCGGCCCCTACTGGTGTGTGTTCATAGAAAATGTTTCAATAGGCAGAAAAAATATTAATTTCAATTAAAAAGTTAGAAATACACGACTCTTTCATTTAAATATATAAAAATATCTAATTTAATGCAGAAAAAATATATTACAAGTTGTGTAATGTACTCTTAATTAGGAAAATAATCTAAAACACTGACCATGTTAGTGTAAAACAATGACTTATGGTAGGGCATTAATTGTTCAATTCACTCTGATATTGGGTTAAATATATTTTTATTAATGAATTACTAATCCCAACTGAGGTGGCTTATTACCTCTAGTCCGCTATTAAATCCCCTTAATTGACTTAAATAAAATCACTTAAATCAAACCCAGAGGAAAGCAAATATTTTACAGTTAAGTCTACAAAGTACTAGAACTAGAATCATTTGATGACAGGCTGGCTTCTGTAACTCAAGCAAACCGTACGTTGACTTAATATAGCTGACATATCGATCTATTTTACAGTGTTTTCAGTTTCAAAAATACAACACCTTAAAATATGTTCAATTTATCAAAGCTAAAAGCAACATTTAAGTAATGTACTTAAAGTGCAAAGGCACTTTAACATAAAGATGTGGTACCCAGTGGCTACACTTGGTAACTGAAGATGGAAATACCATATGTCAGTATTTACAAAAGAAGTTATAGTCCCACAAGATCTTTGGAGATCTTCTACAAAATACACTAAACGTCCATTTTCACATGAAAAGTCTGTCTATTCTCTCTTCATTCACTATAATCTCCTCTTTCCACTCCAATACTGGAAAATTAAAAAAAATTTAAAAAACAGAAACAAAACCATCAACAAAGTACATGAAAAAAAATGCATCATAGAAACATTCACGGTGACTAATGGCTCCTAGGAAGAGAAAGTAAAAAAGATGGAGGAGAAAGCAAGAGAGAAATAATTTAAAGGAAAACCACCTGCGAAAGCACTACCATTGCTTTAACCCATTTCCAAACATTTTCAAAGTCCCCCGTTAAGGCTGGGCAAGGGAGAACACAAATAAACACAAGAGGGAATGCAGTGCTTCCGACAGTTCAGAGCAGCATCCTGTGATGCCATAGGTTGTCAATGATTTCCTTTCACAGCTGACTGATTGCAGTTTGTTTTTCCAGAACTTCGAGGTAGTCTGGTTCTGATTGCGGCTTAGCTTGCAGTAAAGGGTGGTCGGGTTTTGACTGTCCCACAAAGCATTTCCTGGGAGTTCCATATAAAACGGTTTTATTGATTCTGTCTTGGTTTTGGCGTCGAGATTCATAGGAAGGGGCGAACTGCCTTTTAGGTAAGGTACAAAAGTTATAGTGGACTAGGCCTGCACTGGGGAGTTCCTTGACTCGCTCAGCAATATTCTGATACAGCACCTCGGGCTCTCTGGGTGTGGCCTGCTTTTCCAGCAACTCAGTGGCACTTATCGTGTAAGCAAGTGTGGCTGGCTCTTCTTTTTTCTCCTCCAGGTTGCCATAGTTGAACTCTTGCAGGTTTCGGTAATAGGCTACCGGGTCTCCTTCCTTCTGCATGTAGATGGGGTTTTGGCACATCTGACCCACAGGTGGGGGGATATAGTTATAGACGTGGCCATCGGTTTTATCATGAGTCTCTGTGTTGTAAGACCCATACTGTAACTGGAAGGAACTGACATCTAAGTTGTTGCCACTCCTGGGAACACTTGGCACTCCCTTTCTGCGTTTCAGTACGAAGACGAATAAACCAGCCCCAAAACAGACAGACAGGATAAAAACAACAAGCAATCCTAAAATTAAGACAGAGAGTGGAACTTCAGTGTGGAGTTCAGGATAAGAACTAGGAGACACACTAAGTGACCGAGGTGTGTCTGTGTTGTGATTCACCGACAAACCCGTCCCATCTGACAAGTCTGGACTATCTGGACAAATAGCCTCTCTCCCTAGAAACTTCAGGATCTCCCCTGCATGCTTAGCAGGAGACTCACAAGTCACCTCATTGATGATGACAGGGGAATTGGCATGTTCTGTCCAGTCCTTCAGCCCCATGATATCACAGGTGCAGTCCCATGGGTTCTCTTGCAGATCTATCTGGATAAAAGCTGGAAGCTGATCCAGAACCCCTTTCACAGGCAGGTGGGAAAAATGATTGTTTCTCAGATTCAGCCTGGTGAGGGCCGTGCCCCCAAATATATTATCAGGTAAGGACCGCAGGAGATTGTTATTCAGAAAGAGTAGCTGTAGGTTAATCAAAGCATCAAAGGTCAGTGGCTTAATTTCCTTAATGACATTATACTCTAAATAGAGATACTGCAAACTCTGCAGTCCATCAAACATAGAAGGATACAGTACTTCAAGGTAATTGCCATTCAGATACAGTCTGCGTAAACTGGTTAGGTTTGTGAAGGCACCTTCCTGAATGACAGCAATCCTATTGTTTCCTAAATGCAACAGATCCAAAGAACTGTATTCTGAGAGGTCATTCTTATAGACAGTTTGAAGATAGTTCCCTGTTAGGTAGAGTTTCTTTGGACTGGTAGGTTTGGGCTGCAGGTCGGAGATATTGGTGAACTTCCTTTCTTGGCAGTTCACATTTAGACCGTTGTCTGAGCTCTGAGAGGTGCAGACACAGCTACTGGGACAAGTGAGGGGCACAGGAGACTTGGTCTGGTACACCATGATTGGTCCAAAGCTCTGCCTGTCCTTGGACACAGTCACTCGGGGAGTTGGACGGTTTCTCATTTTGGGTGGTCGGCTGGCTTTTGGGGCCCTGGTTGGGCTGAGCGCGGGATTCATTGTAGGTGACAGCCTTTGGACGTGTGTGTCAGCATGGCTGCCCCTCTGACTGGAGTCACCAGCACTCTTCCTGGGACAGAGGTCTTGTCTGGTCAGTTGGGTCACATCCTTCCCGTGCAACCTGAAGGGAGTTTCACAGACAATCTCCCCCACGAAAACAGTTATGGTGTCCAGCCACGCCTTGAGGGGAAGTAAGTCACAAGTGCAATTCCAGGGGTTTTCCTCCAGCTGAATCTCCATGATCCCTCCGATGTGTTCAAGGACACCAGCGAACGGCATGACTTTCAGCCTGTTCCCCCTGAGGTCTAAGTGGGTCAGCAGGACAAAGCGAAACACATTGCTGGGCAGGGACAGCAGAAGGTTGTCATTCAGGATGAGCACTTTGAGCTTATTAAGTTTGCTGAATGCCCCTGCCTCAATGGCACTAATGTAATTGTAGTCTGCCTGGAGGTACTCCAGGCTCTCCAGGCCCAGGAAGGTGTCCTCCCTCAATACCTCAAGTTTGTTGTTGTTGAGGTGCAGTCTCTTGAGGGTTTTCAGGCCGCTGAATGCCCCAGTCCGGATCTCTTGCAACCCGTTGTTACCAAGGTGAAGAGTCACTGCGTTGGAGTAATTGACAAATTCGTTTGGGTACAGTCTAGTCAGGAGGTTTCCATTGAGAAAAAGCTGATAGATTCGATACTGGGGGGGCTGGAGCAGGCTGACAGTTGTAAATCCTTTGTTTTCACAGTTAATGTTCAGTACGTTTTCCTTCTCTTCACACAGGCAGCGGATCTTGCAAATGTCTTTGGCAGTTTTGCGACTCTCCGTCTGTAAGATCCCGGCCACGGTTAACACACTGAGGAACCAAACGCCGCTCAGCATCTTTAGGCACCTTCGTGTCAGCTCAGGTACCTACAGGCAAACCTTGGGTGGGGAGGGAGCAGGGGCAGGAAGCGGGATGCCGGGGAAGAAAGAAACACAAGGAACCCCGATTAAAATGGCAAAGCAAGGAGGTGGAGTGGGAGGAAGGGAGAATGAGGGGGTGGGCAACACGGCAGAATAAAATCACTGCGTTTCTCAAAGCGATTTCTTCTCTCTTCTTCGTCTCTCCCTCCCTCCCCCACACAGCCCACCCCCACACGAGTCTCGAAACACACATGCTTGCACCTGATTTCCCGGCGGGTCGCAGCCGGTCGGTCGCGGAGTCATTAGTAATCGAGTTGTCCTACTAAATCCAGCCCATCTCCTTTCCCCCGAGGCTATCAGAAGGCTCGCCCTTCTGGGGCTCGCAGCAGAAACTGCTTTCATTTTATTATTATTATTATTTTAACTGCGCAAAAAGGGGGTGGGAAAATGAGGAACCTGGGGGCTGGCGGCGGGGCGGAGATGGGAGAGCGAAGAACGCGAGGTAGGGGGTACTCACACATTAGGAGAAGACAGGACCCCCTTCCTCTGCAGTCCGCCAGGAGTTTAGCATCTTCAGGAAGAGAGAACGAGCAAGGTAAAAGAAGACGCTGTTTCCAAGGGGTATGCCCTGCTTTTGCTTCTTGATTAAATATACTTGGGGCTGCGCAGAAATTTAAAACCCGGCTGGTTCCAGGAGAGACAGAGAAGGGTTGGAATGCAGGGAAGCCGAAACCGCCGGGGAACCAGGGTGCGATTGCTTCGGGAGGTTGGGGAGCAGGCCGGTGGGGTTGGCTGACGGTGGAGACAGCGGAGCCTGGGCGCGCGCTTCCAATCGGGTGGCAGCGGCAGCAGTGCGTCTAGCAGTTTGAATTTGAGAGGCTTTGCTGGCTCCCGGGACAGGACTAGGGTGACGTCACGGGAGGAGGGGGCAGGCAGAGGATCGAGGGCGCGCTTGGTGGGGGAGGGTGGGGCAGATGCTTCCCCTTCCTGCGAGCGGCTTTGCAAAGCTCAGTTCTCGGCGGCTGTGTCAGTTGATTCTGAACTACTCCACCTCCAACCCGCTTGGCCACCGGAGAAGCTCCTGCAGAAGGGTTGTTCAAGGAAGGGCCCTGCAAAGGGGCTGGCCCCGGACAGGGTTCCTCTAGTCCCTCTGAGTGGTCTCTTGCACCTCTCCCCCCTCCCGCACCTACACACCTCCTGTGGAACAGTGACCTGGCCGTTCCAGGGGGTCTCTATCCACATTCCCAAGCAGCAGTCTAGACCCTCCTAGGAGGGTGTGTGTGTGGTGTTGCATTGTGTTCCTCCTTGCTACAGGACTGCTGCCGACTTGCTTGCCTTCTAGCTCAGAAGCTCTGGGTGCAGAGAGGGGGCTGTGTGTGCATACCAGTGTGTCTGTGTAGGAGGATGGGGAGTTCTTCCAGGGAATTCATGCTTCACATACGGAGCTTTGTTTCAGTGCTGAATTACTGGGGGGGGGGGGGGTCGGGTAATGACCAGCCAGATATTTGCCTGGACTCTGAAAGCCAGCTAAAGGCTAGCTTACAGACTGAGATAAACAACGACAAAATCCATCTCCCTCTGAGATTTATACTTAGCCAGATAATGAGGTTTAAACGTGTGCTTTTGCCAGGAGGAAAGAAAGGAGGAGTGGGTGTAAGGAAGGCACTGCCAGGCTGAGCCTCAGCTGGGAGTGGGAGCCCGGGAGGGGCTGTTGAGCCCTTCAGGCTGCAAGAGCCTTGAAGCTGGGAGAACTGAAGAAGATAGTGAAAGAAGGCTGGAGCCTGAGAAACCGGAGAAAGTAGTCCTGACCTGAGATCCAGAGTACCCGGCCTCTGATCTAGCTTGCTTGTCAGATATCTACTAATTTCTGGATCTTCCTGTCTCCATTTGTAAAAGGGTTAGATTATGCCCAGCCCTCCCTCCCCCCAGTTCTGACATTCAGTTTGGATTCAAATAGAACCTTTTCAGGCCAGGTGTTGGACTTTTGCATGCCTTATTTCATTTCTCCTTAATTGTACACCCCCTTGGACCCAGGAGTCTATTTACAAGACGTGAATAATGTCTGCTCTGGTCCAGAAAAGCCATGGGCTGCCTCTGGTTGGAAGGGGGATGGGGTGGGGTAAGTCAGGAAAAGGAGGAAATGAAATAGAACGGGAAAAGGAATTGAACAAAGGATGTGCCTGTCCCACAAAACACTTCAGCTTGCTTTCCCTGGCTCTTCAGTCTCAAATTTGATGCAGAGACAGTCAACACAGGCTCCTATTGCCTGTCCAAAAGCAGAACAGACAATCACACAGGCAAGCAGAGCCATGTGAGAACAGGAAACCCCCTGCTTCTCCCCTCATCCTTTCCTGTTAGGTCTGCGTCCTAGAACTGTTCCGGGTATGGAAGCTCCTTCTTCCCTAAGAAGGGATAGGGCAGTTTATCAACTTTGACACTAAGGCAACCTGTGGCTCTGGCCAACGCCTGCACATTTCCCTGGCTTTCTCTCTTCCTCCCCTTTTTCCTTCCAAGTAATGCCTTGGACCAGACATCAGGAGCCCTCCTCCCCCTGTAATTTTTGCTTAGCTTTTTGTAAGATCCTTTGCTTCCAGAACGTTGAGTTTTCCTTCTCTAAGCCATAAGACAACCATGAAAGGAATATTTCTGGTGGAGGGGAGGGTTGGGGAGCTGCCATAAATGGCCTCTGATTCTCTATTGCAGTTGCATCATTAAATGCAGACAGAGTGAGGCACTGCGAGCACAACTGGGCTTTCTTTCATAGCAAAGGAGCATTCTTCCTATGTATTTGTAAATATGAAAAGTACATAGTTCCTAGAGAGTGATGGCTTATTTATTTAGCCATTTATTCAACAAACATCGATTAATTAGCCTAATATTTCATTGAATTAGAAGCCAACATGAGAGCTGGACAAGACCTTAGAAATCGGGTTCATTTTACAGATGAGTACATTCTTTAACCAGGGGCAGTGCTGACTTGCCTGAGTTCAAAAAACTAAAATTAGATAACGAACTCAGGGGTTCTGCATCCAGCAGATTTCTAAAAAGCTCACAACGCCTTAACACGAATTAAGAGTACTATGGACCTAAACTTAAATAGTGATGGTGACATTGTATGTAAATACATTTGTGTTGTACTTAAAGGGAAACGTCAAATGTTAGTTTCAGTTCTCAAATACAGTAATCTTTTTCAAGAGGTTGATGATGCTGTCAGTACTCCGTGTGGGCAGAAATGATTTTGCTAAGAATTGCAGAGGGAGGGAGAGCCAGAGAGATGGGGAGCTGGGGGGCGGGGGGATCATGAAATTCTCCCAATTATAAAATCAGGGAAATGCCGGGCGAGCGACACTGGGAATCCTGAAGTGATGTGACAAGTCTTCTTCCTGTGGTTAGCTTCCTACACGGGTCTTACTGGCCTTTCTGTTATTCCTTCAGCGTCCACAGCCAAAACATACTTATTGGGAACAAATCAGCTTCAAACCTGATTCGCACTTTAAGTAAGTTTCACTCAGCTGCGCGGCTCAGGAAGAACCGCGGCAGCACCCCGCTGGGAAGAGCGGTCTTTTAAAGAGGTGGAAAGGTACGGGGTGAACTGGGAGCCCAAAGGAGGCGAGGGCAGACGCTAAAGTAAGGAAAACGTTACCTCGCCTGCTTAAACCAGGACTTCTGTCGCCTTAGTCTCACTGGCATGTCACCGAGTAGAGGATGGCCCTGGTCGCTCAGGTTTCCGCAGGACGCGGTGGGTGCTGGAGGACTGTGAGTGCCAGCGGATCACGGCCGCCAAACAGGCCACGAGAAGGTTGAGTCCGGCAGGCCTGCGAGGGGGCACTGCTGGCCTGAAGCCCTCTTCTCCAAACCCCAGGCCGTAATCCTGGGCGAATCTCACCTTCCGGGAGACTGGGGAGACTGGGGTGTCCGCAAGTCCCCGTCGCAGTGGACGGGGCGCCAGCCTCTAGCTCAGCCCTAACTTCCCTCCCCCTACCCGCTAGGCGCACGGTGCCCGCCATGCCAGAGCAGGGTCCCACAGCCGCGACGGCCACTCGGGCAGCCCTCGCCTGGGGGCTTGGGCACCGCGGGGCGTTGGAGGCTCCCGGCGAGCAGCAGTTCGCCCCGAGTGCGTGGGCAGCAATGACAGCGGGGCTGCGCGACGCGCTGAGCCTTGACCACGCCCGCGCGGACGGTCCCGCGGCGGGCGAGGCAGCCCGAGTGGGGACTAAGGGTAGAGGGCAGTCCACAGCGCGCTGCTCTCCGCGGATCGCGTTCAGACTCTCCACGCCCGTCCCCGTCCCCTGAGAGGCGGCTGCAAAAGGCAAGGAGCTGAGGGAAGCCAGCTCCGGTGGCGTCGCCACGGTGTCCCCGAGTGCTCAGAACTTACCGAGCGAGTGCGCCGCCCGGATCTTCCCCCGGAGGCGCCCACAGCATCTGCGGCTCGGAGAGGCGCAGGAGCCGGTGCAGCTTCGGACTGATGGGGCTGGGAACTAGGGCACGGCAGAGAGCGCGGGCAGCGCCCCCAGGGCAGGCCGATCCCTACCGGAGCAGCTCACCGCCTGGCCGCGCTTCTGGCAGGAAAGAGGGAGGGTGCAGACAGGGGTGGGGGAGTAGGGAGGAGGAGAGAGGAAGGGGGGGGGGGAGGACGGCGGCCCCTCTCCCGCACTTATCAATCACCGCGCAGATCAAATGGCCCTGCCGTGCACCCGGGAGGGGGATGTACCAGCCCACAAAGGAGCCTCTGCTCCGTTTCTCTGAGGAGAGCTGCGGAGCGCTGCTCACGCCTCTCGGCCCCTCTTCGCTTGGAAATCGGCCCAGCCCTGGCTGCTTCTACCAGGGGCTGCAGCTCGGACTGGGTCAAGTGAAGTAGGGATGGCACTGTGTGGGTTCCGCATCCAGAGGCGGACTAAGACTACTGGCTGGAAGTTACCGACTAGTGAAAGAGCGGCCAGCCGCCTGAGCCAGACACCCTCCGGGACGGCCGTTTGCAGGAACTAGTAGGCACCCAATCACTGGTGTTCGCAGGCAGATATTTAAAAACCTCCTAGGAGGATGGTAAACAACGAATTTCCATATAATACAGAGCTGAGCTACATTTGTGCAAACGCGGTAATAAACCCAAGCCCTCAGCAGCGCTCAAGTTCCCGTTTTAACACTGATTTTTTTATTTTGTTCTTCATGGCATTCCCTGGACCTACTGGCCAGTGTTTTTTTTTTTTTTTCCTTTTTTCCATCCTACTTTCTTTCTTCTCGTTTCTTCTTCCTCTTGTTAGCAGTGCAGATCGAGTCTATTTAAAAGGAAGGCGCTTGGTGAAAGTGTCAGTGTAGTTCAAGAGGGAGGTGCGGTTTTCTCCAACAGCATTGCGGTTCCCATGAAGACTTGCTTACCCTGGGGACTCTCTTTCAAGTTCCAGAGTATCTTGGACAAACTTGCACTTTTATTAGTTTAAGCCAGGAGTAGGGACTTCATCTGATGACACCAAGACACTTCCTTGTACATCCTGGAGGACAGCGGCCTTAAATTGAAGTTGTCATAGCGCCTTGTTCTTTTTTAATAACCCCCTACTGTCTGTAAAGCCTCAAATTATTTAGAATATCTGGAAGCTTGGGATGGAGACAGAACGGGAGGTGAGGAAAAAGGTACAAAATTACAGTAGCAAACTCATCTATTTTCAAGATTATTTCCTATACATCTAAGCCAGGTTCTCACAGCTCTGGCTGCTACCTCATTCTTGTCTTTACCCTTGGGAATCTTAAGTACTTCCTTCCCTTCTTGGCTTTCTTTTCATAATGATTTTCTAGGGAGACTATGCTTGGCCTTACAAAAAATGAAAACTGATAACCTTATGTTATGAACAAGTGCAGACTTGAGTCGTAGTCCAAAGAATCATAACCATATCTCTATGATTTTAAGGATCATTGCTGTTCCTTCTACTTCATTTTTGGAAAAAGCCTTATTGAAATTTCCCTGTCATTCAGATAAGCAATATCAGCATAACATAGTTCTCACATATGCACAAGAGTAAGCTATGTATATTACATATTCCAAAATATTTCTCTTTTTTATTACTATCCTTATTTGCGTGAAACATCCAATATACCGTTTGCTTCAGTTAACAGGCGCAGCCTGGGCACATCATATTATTACTGAGGGCAGTTAATGCTGTTGTCTCTCTGTCTTTATCTCATTTCTGACTGTGCTATGCTTTCATGTAGTTGTTTAGTGGATGCTATACACAACCACAAAACACAGAGCTAAGAGACCATTCAAAGGCAGAAATAATGGGACAGTCATGCCGAAAAAAGGGACAGTTTCCTGAGAAGGATAGTGTGTCTCTAGCCAGAGGGAACACACAACAAGGCAGTAGCATGTATACAGATTAGATGAGGACCATAGTATGAACGATAAAAAAAGTTTTATTTTGATCCGCTAGAAATATGTAATATATGGAATGCATCAATTTTAATTAGCCTTGTAAGCAAGTCTAACATGGTCTAGCAGCCTTCAGACAGCATTTAGCAGCCTGCCTTTGCACATGGGGCCATACTGATAGTAAGATAAAATTAAAAAGAGCAGACTTCTTTTTGTCAGCATAAAATTTTCAAGTAGGTGGGCAGCTCTCTGGAAAGGTGCCCTGAATGCATACACACACACAAAAACTGATGAGCAATACAAAACTTTCTGTGACGGTTATTGCATAATTACAGTACAAGAGAGCTGGAATTGTAGAGAAAATTTAAATGTACCAATTTATTTGAAAGCTGATTATACTGATTTTTCTAAAAGTTTCTGTGTTAGCAGAAAATGTCTTAATATAAGTGAACATCAAAGGCCCATATATTGAGGGACTTTTGTTAATTAATAATAATTGTATTACTAATTCTTGGTATACTCGCATTGTAAAAGCATCTTGATATCAGTGTGATGTTTTCTGTAGTATAGTTCATGCTACTAAAGAGATCGCTGATTGAAATACAAGTGCGAAAAGAGAAATAAAAAATTGTACCTGGGTTTTTATAATTTCATTCTAAGATTAAAAGAAAACTAGAAGTGTCATCTAGAAAGTGCAAAAAAAGCGCGCATGTTTGTGAGATGATGCAAATGCTATCTGATCACTGTGTACTATGTAGTTTACCTGAGAATCTTGTTTTTCTACCTGTTTCACATCTGCCCAGAGCTAGAAAGCCTTGCAAAATAATTTTTAAAAAGTAGAAACAACATGCAGAGTCAGTAGTTCTAAGACAGATGTGCTGAATTTTCAGAGAATAGTGTCCCTTTTGAACCAAGGCTTTCAAAGGAGAGTTTGCTAAGACAAACAAATTCCTAAATAAAGAAATGCAGTAGAAAGAGGACATGCCCTTAATACCAATAATTATAGTTTAAAGGGTATTGTAGACGTTGGTTCCTGGTGCTATTCAAAGTGTAGATATTTTTAAATTCAATTCAATTATTTTGATTATTTTGGCAGGCACTGGGGTTTGGTTGGAATAGTGCTGGCCCAGAACCCAGAGCACTTTGTCTTTGAATCACATATCCAAGCCTTTGGAGCACAGTGACTTGGGTTCAAATCCCACTGCTGCTACTTCCTCACAGTGGGACAAGAACAGACACAACACCTCTTTCAGCTTCCCCATGTGAAAAATTTGGGGTCAGCAAGGGCAAGATGTATCAGAAAATTGTGAAGTTGTACACGTCTGTGCTGGGAAACCTTTGCAGCATTCCTAAGCTTACTTCTTAAAATAAGTGTATTACATAAATAAAACTTAACAATTCTAGTGAGAAAACAATATTTTAATTTACCCTGGATAAAAGAATCCATATTAAAAATATTTATGATTCCAATTGAGACTGTATCATGTCAAACATTGAAAGAAGACTTTACACATCTGCATAGGCGCGTGGTTGTATATACTAGGGTTTTTCATCCTCCACACCAATGACATATGTGACAAGATGATTACTTGTTGGGGAAGGGGACCATTCCTAGGTCATATGGGAGGATTAGCAACATCTCTGGCAGCATGTGCCTGAGTGTGTGTATACACACATGTATCTATACTTTTATGCATACAAACATCTGACTTTGACATTTAAGTAATTTGAAGGAATATAAGGTAGGAACATAATATATGACTTAGTGACAACAAGAACAAGGATCCAGGCTGCCTGATGTCCTGCTTTGTGATCTACTACACTCTGCAACCTGCCACCTCTTGGTCCCAAGTACCGTGGGTGTAGTCAGGTAGCATACACTGGTGCTGCTGCTTCTCCACAAGAAATATATTTTACATCATGACCCAGGGCCCAGTCATGAATTGAAACAAGAGTTTTCTGAAACATTATTATCCTTGTCACAGCCTTGTACCCTGCAATTTTCCATCGCAGTTGATTTTAAAAATTGCTGGGTGTGGTCCACTAAATTGATTTTCAGGAGTGACTAATAGATTATATCTCATGATTTAAAGCACACTGGCATATTGGATTGGGCAGGAAAGAAAGGAAAATGAGATGGAAAAGACAAAAGGGGCAGTAGAGAAGGAGTGGTGATAGAAACACAAGAAAAAAAGAAATGGCTATCATGCAAAGTTACAGAAAAGCGTAAGGTGCTCAACCAGTTACATCAAATGCCACTTAACAATGGCACCTATTCCTTAAGTGTTCTAGCTCTTTCTGCTGGCTGACTGAGTCCCATAATTCACTAACAGGAGCCATATTTAAGCATACTGGACTTTGGAGTACATATACATGGCAAAAGTCACAGATTTTACAAATAAGGCTTAGGACCGCGTTAGTAGGTATTTCATTTATCCTGACACATTCCACCCTATTAATCTCAGTGCAGCTGGAAGTTATAGTTTGGTCCAGAGTTACAACCTAATGTGTTCAGGAGGAAACCAAATTTATTTGGTTTGACATTGCACTTTATTGGAATGGTACAATGCAGTTGAGCTTCAGCACTATGTTCTGTTGGTTTTATTTATGTATTTGTGTTTCCCTAGTATAAATATATGGTAAAGTATGTGCTGTGGTTGAGAGTTTAATGCTGACTTTGCTGGAACATTCAAAAATGTCTGCATGCAAGATGCCCAGTTCTAAAGAGTTACAGCTGGAAGAGGAGCTACTGAGGATTTGCATTAAGTATTTCTGACTTTTAAAAATGTCATCATTTGTGAAGAGGACTAGTCTATTAATATTTAAAAAAATGACAAGAATGACACACTCCAGATCTACCCCGAAGTTGTGACTTACACAAAATGAAGCAAGGTTTGCAAGTTGTGGGTTCAGAGGGAAGGTAAGATCTAGCATGTAAATAAAATCATTTCCAAGTAATAGCTGGATGCAGCATTCAACTATCACTGCAAATCAATGAAGGGAGAATGGATTTTTTTTTCACCTTGAATCCTGATGACTTATTATTCATGTGTTATATCAGTTCATTTTTTTCCTTTCATTTTTCATCTCCAGGCAGCTTCTTAAGTGACATTATAATGATACCTGGCACACAACCCTTTTCACCTGATTATTGCAGGTGAGGTCACCTGTGAGTCAAATATTGTGGCCCCAGGGCATATGTCAAGTAACTTTAGCATCTGCCTATGGTCTTATTTTGGTTCCTAGGAAAATTACGAAAAAGCACCTTCAAATTTCAAGATTTTTGATAAGTTAAATAACCCTGTAGTTGTCTCATAAAAATAACCTGAAATGGATCTGTGACAGAAGAACACTATGGAATATCTTGAGAGCATCACTTTACAGCAACCCCAGGAAACCATGGCAGTACTGGAGACAGAATCATAACCAAATTTTTCTTCCATCTTGGGCATCAACACAAAAATTAAAGTGCGGTAGTGGGGTCTGTATCACTCTATTA